GCGAAGCCCCGCGCTGGGACCCCAGCCCCCCACGTCTCACGGTGATTTTCTTTCATCGCCGCCCTCCCCCAGGACCAGGACCGAGCCCAGGGCCTCCACGCTGATTTGTGGAGGGAAACTTTGCCCTGAACGACACAGCCGCGTCCAGATAAAAGTAAGGAAGGGAACGCACCGGGGGTCTGGGCTCTGCGCAGGGCCGCACGGCGGGCGTCGTCGGACAGAGCGAGGGGATCAGCCTGCCGCAGTCTCCACCCGGCCCTGGATTCCCGCCGGGGCAGCGGCACCGGGAGCCCGAGGGACCTGTGCCCTTCAGCGATGGCTGGTGAGGACGGGGACACGGAGGAACCGCCGCACGCCCTGAAAACAAAACTCCCCAAGCAAATACCACCGATCTTCTCTCTCAGACGGCGCACGCGAGGCCGAGACTGCGGGGTCCCCACTCCCCAGAGCTGGCACCTCCGAGCAGATGGCTGCGCCCCGACAGGAGGAGCCCAGGGCGGAGGGAGACTCCGGGGAGAGCTGGCGACACCCACGGGGACGGGCGTGTACGCTGTGCTTGGAGGGTGGTGCCGCGGTCACGGGCCGCGCTGACTTGGGGCCTGCAACGAATTCTGGGCCCAAGGAGCTTGCAGAGCAACGTGTAAAAGTCAAGGGCAAGAGGAATCACAGGGCGGCTGCCTTCCGCATCCACGGTTTGGGCACTTCCTGCAGGAGAGGGAGGGGAGCGCATGGCCAGGCCTCCAGGGAAGCCTGGGATACGTGTAAAAATCACAGCGCGGCTGCCTTCCGCATCCACGCTTTGGGCACTTCCTGCAGGAGAGGGAGGGGAGCGCATGGCCAGGCCTCCAGGGAAGCCTGGGATGTGGGGGTGAACCAGACAGGAGCCTGGAAAAGTCATAGAGCTGGGAACACCGGGCTCCTGTCTGTTCCTCCTTCTCCATCTCCTCCTCCTCCATCTCCTCCTCCTCCTCCTCCATCTCCTCCGTCTCCTCCTCCTCCTCCGTCTCCTCCTCCTCCTCCGTCTCCTCCTCCTCCTCCGTCTCCTCCTCCTCCTCCGTCTCCTCCTCCTCCTCCGTCTCCTCCTCCTCCTCCGTCTCCTCCTCCTCCTCCGTCTCCTCCTCCTCCTCCGTCTCCTCCTCCTCCTCCGTCTCCTCCTCCTCCTCCGTCTCCTCCTCCTCCTCCGTCTCCTCCTCCTCCTCCGTCTCCTCCTCCTCCTCCGTCTCCTCCTCCTCCTCCGTCTCCTCCTCCTCCTCCGTCTCCTCCTCCTCCTCCGTCTCCTCCTCCTCCTCCGTCTCCTCCTCCTCCTCCGTCTCCTCCTCCTCCTCCGTCTCCTCCTCCTCCTCCGTCTCCTCCTCCTCCTCCGTCTCCTCCTCCTCCTCCGTCTCCTCCTCCTCCTCCGTCTCCTCCTCCTCCTCCGTCTCCTCCTCCTCCTCCGTCTCCTCCTCCTCCTCCGTCTCCTCCTCCTCCTCCGTCTCCTCCTCCTCCTCCGTCTCCTCCTCCTCCTCCGTCTCCTCCTCCTCCTCCGTCTCCTCCTCCTCCTCCGTCTCCTCCTCCTCCTCCGTCTCCTCCTCCTCCTCCGTCTCCTCCTCCTCCTCCGTCTCCTCCTCCTCCTCCGTCTCCTCCTCCTCCTCCGTCTCCTCCTCCTCCTCCGTCTCCTCCTCCTCCTCCGTCTCCTCCTCCTCCTCCGTCTCCTCCTCCTCCTCCGTCTCCTCCTCCTCCTCCGTCTCCTCCTCCTCCTCCGTCTCCTCCTCCTCCTCCGTCTCCTCCTCCTCCTCCGTCTCCTCCTCCTCCTCCGTCTCCTCCTCCTCCTCCGTCTCCTCCTCCTCCTCCGTCTCCTCCTCCTCCTCCGTCTCCTCCTCCTCCTCCGTCTCCTCCTCCTCCTCCGTCTCCTCCTCCTCCTCCGTCTCCTCCTCCTCCTCCGTCTCCTCCTCCTCCTCCGTCTCCTCCTCCTCCTCCGTCTCCTCCTCCTCCTCCGTCTCCTCCTCCTCCTCCGTCTCCTCCTCCTCCTCCGTCTCCTCCTCCTCCTCCGTCTCCTCCTCCTCCTCCGTCTCCTCCTCCTCCTCCGTCTCCTCCTCCTCCTCCGTCTCCTCCTCCTCCTCCGTCTCCTCCTCCTCCTCCGTCTCCTCCTCCTCCTCCGTCTCCTCCTCCTCCTCCGTCTCCTCCTCCTCCTCCGTCTCCTCCTCCTCCTCCGTCTCCTCCTCCTCCTCCGTCTCCTCCTCCTCCTCCGTCTCCTCCTCCTCCTCCGTCTCCTCCTCCTCCTCCGTCTCCTCCTCCTCCTCCGTCTCCTCCTCCTCCTCCGTCTCCTCCTCCTCCTCCGTCTCCTCCTCCTCCTCCGTCTCCTCCTCCTCCTCCGTCTCCTCCTCCTCCTCCGTCTCCTCCTCCTCCTCCGTCTCCTCCTCCTCCTCCGTCTCCTCCTCCTCCTCCGTCTCCTCCTCCTCCTCCGTCTCCTCCTCCTCCTCCGTCTCCTCCTCCTCCTCCGTCTCCTCCTCCTCCTCCGTCTCCTCCTCCTCCTCCGTCTCCTCCTCCTCCTCCGTCTCCTCCTCCTCCTCCGTCTCCTCCTCCTCCTCCGTCTCCTCCTCCTCCTCCGTCTCCTCCTCCTCCTCCGTCTCCTCCTCCTCCTCCGTCTCCTCCTCCTCCTCCGTCTCCTCCTCCTCCTCCGTCTCCTCCTCCTCCTCCGTCTCCTCCTCCTCCTCCGTCTCCTCCTCCTCCTCCGTCTCCTCCTCCTCCTCCGTCTCCTCCTCCTCCTCCGTCTCCTCCTCCTCCTCCGTCTCCTCCTCCTCCTCCGTCTCCTCCTCCTCCTCCGTCTCCTCCTCCTCCTCCGTCTCCTCCTCCTCCTCCGTCTCCTCCTCCTCCTCCGTCTCCTCCTCCTCCTCCGTCTCCTCCTCCTCCTCCGTCTCCTCCTCCTCCTCCGTCTCCTCCTCCTCCTCCGTCTCCTCCTCCTCCTCCGTCTCCTCCTCCTCCTCCGTCTCCTCCTCCTCCTCCGTCTCCTCCTCCTCCTCCGTCTCCTCCTCCTCCTCCGTCTCCTCCTCCTCCTCCGTCTCCTCCTCCTCCTCCGTCTCCTCCTCCTCCTCCGTCTCCTCCTCCTCCTCCGTCTCCTCCTCCTCCTCCGTCTCCTCCTCCTCCTCCGTCTCCTCCTCCTCCTCCGTCTCCTCCTCCTCCTCCGTCTCCTCCTCCTCC